CTCTCTCTCTCTCTCTCTCTCTCTCTCTCTCTCTCCCCTCTCTCTCAGTGCCAGCATTTACCTGATTGGGCAGACACAGGCTTAGAATAAATAATCCACACTGCAACTCAGTTGGTGGCAGTGGAAAGTAGAGGAAAGGGGCTTCTAATAGGTAAGGTTTTAATTTTGAAAGATGACTGAGGACAATGACTGTGTTCACGCCTGCTGGATTATCTGCATGGCCTTCTTTCAGGTTCTTAGTTTTTCTTTATGCCTCTGCCTGGCCACCTTTCTGGAAAGTCTTCCCTCATCCTTCTTTCTCAGCCATCCTTCCATGTAACTTAAGCACTGTTTCACCATGGCCATCTGTGTGACCACCGCCCCGTCTTTGAACATCTATTCTCAAGCCTCCCTTGAGACTTGACCGCACTCTGTTTCTGTCTTTGTATGGTCACCTCCCTGATGTCCCTTCTGGATTATGTTGCTCAGAGGCCTATTCCAGAGTTTCTCAGCCTTGGATACAATGCTCTTCCAGGCAGCTCCCTTCACCATCTGTTGGAAAACACAAGTATCTTCATCCCCGGCAGTGCAGCATCTGCCCTGGGCCTGGCCTAGCTCTTGTGTGCCACCAGGCTGACTCTTTTGACATTCTTTTTGCCTTGCCCTTGCCAAGCTGTGCTCAGGCTGGGCTGAGATTACTTCCTAGGCTGGCCTGACAGTTATTTTCCCTTAGGAAATTATTTCCATGGTTAAGATCATGCATCTATTAAAGAAATGTCCAATGCTCGTGTTACCCTTCTGAAAGTAATAAGGACTAATATTTAGGATGAGATATTAACACTGTGTAACTGGCTGAGTACCTATAAGGGAATCTGTAAGTATTTTAGAATTAAGAGACAAACTTGCTTTCCCATAGTTATGAATGAGTTATTTTGGGCTATATAATATACTGTTATTTTCATGAAGCATTCCTAGAGAAAAAAACAACCCAGAATTTTTTTCTGATAGAAAACTGAGTTAATTTCCCAAAGGAAGATTAAGGTGGCTTATTCACTCATCCCCTTAGTATTAAAACATATGGGTAAGCAATAAAAACCCTTTATTTTCATTTTTATGTTCTTAAATGTAGAATGTTTAGTTGTAGACAGAAGTAAAAACATTGGTCATCTTCCCACCGTTTCTTCCAGGTATAAACCAAAAAGCAGGTATAAGCCTATTTTCAGGCTCCCATTGACCAGTGGAGCAGATGTGACCACCGTGTCTGCAGTGAACGACTTTTATTCCCGTATCCTTCCTTCCAGTCTGTGGTTGTGCCTTGCACTGAGCATTGCTTTCTGGCAAAAGCCCTTTCTGGGCATCTGAGAAGCCCCAGGTATCCTGCTGGGCATGAAGGACAGATGAATGGTTCTTCTTGTAGGATGTGGGGCCTTTTGCAGTAATTGTAGGTGGAGTAACCTTACATTAATAGTAAGAAGCACCTCCAAGGATTAACAGTCTGGGTTATGACATACCGTGCGAGCTCTCCAAACTCATCTGTATTTACTGAATAATGCGTTGTCAGCGAGTATTTTTTCTTAGTAAACTGTCACTTGTAAACTGCTACCTGCTGTGGGCATCCTTGGATTCCATGGACTGGGCTGTCAAAACTCAGCATCTGCCTTTTGACAGAGCATGAAGTGGTCTATAACCTGTGCTGACGACAAGCCACATGGCGGGCTGTACTCTGTCCTTTCACCTTCATCTCCCACCGTGTATTCCAGTCGCTGGTGGACATCTCCACTGTGTCTTGTGCCGTGTGCTCTGTCCCTGTCACTGCTGCTCTTCTGCTCCTGCCCTAGCTGGGAGCTCCCACTGGTAGAGTTGCACTGAGTGTTTTCTCTGGAACTTCAGAAATTCTTTACTAATTATCCATTTCTGAGTCCTATGAGGTCCCCCCTTTTTTTTGATGATAAAGTGGGTAGAACTGTGTGCCCATAGATGAGACTTCGAGATGGTCCCTTGACTGACCCCCTGCAGATATTGTACTCACAGCTGGTCGGGACAGGAGTGTGGAAGTTTTTGACCTTAATGTTGGCCACAGCGCTGCAGTGATAGCTGAAGTCCATTCACGGCCTGCCCATCAAATCTGTCAAAATAAAGTAAGTTTGTAGATAGTAGAAGTAGTATTTGAAAATTCTTGGCTTAGTGTGTTTAACAATTATAAATGTATTACAATGCAAACTTATAACTACTGCCAGATCCAGTATTAGCTTTGTTCTGTGTTAAACTTCCTTCTTTTGCTACAGATATCTTCAAGATTTATTTATTTATTTATTGTATTTTAAAATTATGTGTGTATGTGTGTATCTATGTGTCAGTGTCAGTGTTCTTGGACACTAGAGACACTGGATTGTCCTAGAGCTGGAATTAAAGGGGCATATAGGCTACCCAATATGGGTGATTGGAACTGAACTGAGGTCCTCTAGAAGAGCAGTGTGTTGGCTATATCTCTAGCCCCTGCAGATGTCTTAATAACATTGTGTGGGACTTTTTGTTCTTTGTCTTTGATTAATTGCCCATCCATGTAGATATCTGTAACTAGCAATGCATTCTCACTTAAGCTGGGGTAGTCTGGATGTATATGTGATGGTGGGAATAAATGGCAGTCATGTCCATTGCAGGCTGTGACAGTCTCTGAATCACAGACTCTCCTTGCACGGTTGGATACAATTACCCTCTTTGATACATTGTGGTTTTTAAAGATGTTCTCAGATGTGTTAAAGGTGGGGTTAATAGTCTAATGGGCCAAGTCTTTTCTTAGGTTTCTAGTGTTGTGATGTATCTTGACCAAAAGTAGCTTGGAGTTTATAGTCAGTCACATCATGGAGGGAAGCTGCAGGCACAAACTGATGCATAAGTCATGGAGGGTGCTGCTCACTAGTTTGCTTTCCGTTGCTTACACAACTTAGACAACCCCTGTCAAGGGGTGGCACCACCCACAGTGGCTGCGTCCTCCCACATTAACCATTAATCAAGAAAACGCCCCTCGGACTTGCATAGAGGCCATCTGATGGAGGCGTTTCTTAACTGAGGTTCCTCTTCCTAGATAACTCTAGTTTGTGCCAAGTTGGTGAAACAAAACAAAACAAATAAACAAACAAACAAAAATGAAAACAAAAACAACCAACCAGGACGGTCCCAGAGTGACTCATTACCTAAAAGCCATCTAAGGCTTATGAAAAAAGCTGATTTTAAAAAGAGCTGTGTCTGTGTGTGATGATATACATGTTTGTGTGTAAGTGTGTGTGTGTGCCATGACCCGAATGTGGTCAGAGGAAAACTTTGAGTGGCAGTCCTTGCCTTCCATCTTACCCAGTGCAGGGTCCCTGTACAGGGGTTAGGATGTCTTTATTCAGATAAACACCAGCCAAACACAAGCCAGAGAGAGAGAGTGCCCTGAGGCAGCAGGCTAGGGAGCCCAGAAAGAGAGTGCTCCCATGTCTGTCACCTCCTTAAGAATTCCCCAAGCATCATCCTGAACCTCCCCTGACCTGCTCCTGGGAGGCGGGGCTACAATGTCTTCCTCTGTTGTTTGTCCCTGCACTAAGTGCTCTGGGCTAGCTGACCTGAAAGCTTCCAGTTGTACTGTAGAAGTGTGGAGAATACAGGGAGCTGTCACCACAGCCTGTTCATGGGCTCTAGAGATCTGAACTCAGGTAGTCAAGCTTACAAGGCAAGGAGCAACCTCCCTGGCTCCTGTTTTTGTTTGTTTGCTCTTGTAAACTTAAGACATGATTTTATTTTTGAGGCAGTCTCTCATTAAGTAGCTCAGGCTTGCCCGAAACTTTCAGTCTTTCAGTGCTGAGATTGGGATACTTCCCCATGAGTCAAAAGGCCTCAGAGGCTCCCAAATAGCCCAGGCTGTTGCCATTGCTTTTGACTTCCCATCATAGCTAGATGGTGACTCACTGCTGAAGACACTACACACTACAGTTGTAGGATATTGATAAATCAAGCCACAACTATCCTGATAGCTAACTTCCTGATGGTTATCTATCATAGTAAAGTGTTATGCAGGCCACCTATCCAGTAGTGGACCCTGTGTGTTTTAATGTTAGCCCGCTGCGTAAGATGTACTCCCCATGCAATAGTAGCACGACTGCTATGGGAGTGACCACCTGCTTTCTAGGAGAAATTCAGGCCTGGTTACTACAAAGCTGGTCACAAAGGCCCAAGGCTCAGAATGTCATCGGCCCTAGGGAAGGGGGAACTACTAAGGCTATCTTCTTAAATAGATATGTTACTGAACTGCCTTCTAAATGTTTATGTTTGTACCCATAGATTAATGATCTAATCGTTGGTCAGAGAAACTTCTTTTGGCAATGGGTTGCAGTCAGTCCAGACTCAGGGTCGGTTCAAGTGTTGAGAACAAGAGACTGAGTGCTCACCCCCAAGTAGACCATCTGTGTCACATATTTTCCTTCCTGCCCCCAAGACCCAGGGAACATTTTGGAAAAGGAATAGCAAGAATGTAAGAACTGGAGGATGGGAAGTTGTTCCATGAAATGCTGTGCTCTGGACATATCATGGCCATTGCTCATAGCAGCTATGGTTATCTGAACAAGATCCAGCAATTAATATTCTAGCATGGAATAGGGTAGTTATTGACAACCAATGGCTTCCTGAAGGGGAGGTAATTTTTCTGTGGGGTTATAGCTGCTGATAGGTTGCCCACATTCCAAAGAATGGCCCCATAACCATTGGCAGTGCCAATTAGACATAGTGGGCTGTGAAAAACAAGTAGACACGAAGGTAGAGATGGAAGAATTGACAGAGATCTGAAGGAAGTAGGGGAGAGGATTTGGTTTGGATATGTACACATGCATGAAAAAAGGAATAAATACAAAATATTCTTAAAATGGGTCCATTTTCTTTAAGAGCTTCTACTTCTTAGCTGAGACAAAAATAAGTGCTAGCCAACATAACATACACATTTTCAGTAGTTCATCTCTCCGATAAGATTAGATATCATTGTAATATAGTGTTTAAAGTAGTCTTTTCTCTCTTTAAACGTTGCATCAAATAGCCATGGGTAGGAAGGCAGTCACGTGTCTTTGTATACAAAAGTGCATAGCAAGGTCCTTGTGCTTGAGGAATTCACACTTTCATGAGAAGAATGTGTAATCACAGATTCAGTCTCCATCTGATTATACATATGGACAAAGGGTAGAGAAAGTAGAGTGGTACCAGAAGGATGTTCACAGGAACAGAGTGCAGGGAGTGCAGATTGGTTGCTGTGGTTATTGTTGCTTGAATGTAATTGACCCCCATAAGCTCACAGGGACTGGCACCATTAAGAGGTGTGGCATTGTTGGAGGAAATGTGTCACTGTGGGAGCTGGCTTTGAGATCTCCTTTGCTCAAGCTACACTCAATGTGACACTCAGACAACTTCCTGTTACCTGTGGGTCAAGATGTGGGACCCTCAGCTCCTTCTCCAGCACCATGGTCTGCCTGCACACTACCATGTCTCACCATGATGAAAATGGACTGATCCTCTGAAACTGTAAGCCACCACAATTAAATGTTTTTCCTTTATAAGAGTTGCTGTGGTCATGGTGTCTCTTCACAACAGTAGAAAACCTAACTGAGGCAGTTGTCATGCTCTGTGCTACTGTGGCAAAGCAAGCCCTGGGAGGAATGGATACTGGATACTGACTAGGACAGAAGCATCCCCTGGACAGGACCTTGAGAATTACTCTGGGAATGGCCGTAGCCATTGCAGAGTTGGAGCATGGGCAAGCTGTCCTTTCAGACATCATGTGATCATGTGGTTTGTACCACCTGAGGATTTCAGGACCCATTGTCAGAGCTCAGCTCAGCCTTTAGACAGTAGGCAAGGATGTGATGTTAGGGGTGGTGACTAAGGGAGTGAGCACCACGACTGAACTACTTTGTATCTCTCTCTCTTTGGGCTGGAGCCTGGGCTTGCTGTATGCACAGAGGGCTGCCCCTGGGCATAGAGCAGAGCTGTCAAGGCTGGGTGGGCAGGTGTGTGGAATTACTGGGCCTCACCCAGTCCCCCCTCCCCCCACACACCTGCTGCTACATGGTTGCCTCTTGGCATGCTTGCTTTCTGCACTCTGTTCTGAGGTGCTAAGGTAACACCTTGAGATGTGTCTGCTTTCTATTAGTGTCAGGAACCTGTTGTGCTGGAAAGGAAGAGAGGTGGAGAGGCGCTTACTCATGCCATGATGCACACGCCCGCATATGGCTGCCACGCTGTGCTGTGACCTGAGGAACCCTGCTGCCAGCTTCCTTGCTGCCCACAGTGACTAGTGCTTTTCACCCTGGCAGAAGCAGCTCATTCCCCCACCAGCAGTGGAACCCAGGGTTTTGATCCCCGCACGTAGAATTAGGATCATTTTTACCTCCGGCTGTAACAACTGGCTGGCTCTCTTTGGTAGTGTCCCAGGCCCACCCTTTTCCACCCCCACCCCCAAGCCTGCCTGCTCCAAGCTAAGAGTGTCTAGTAGGAACTGAGTAGGTGTTTTCCTACATCTTCCA